TCTCTCTCTCTCTCTCTCTCTCTCTCTCTCTCTCTCTCTCTCTCTCTCTTCTGGAGTTTGTGGAGCATCTTCCTTTGAAAGTCTCAATCCTGATTCAAATGGTGTGGGTGCTCTGCGGCAGTTAGTCATGTTATATTCCTTTAAGGGGGAAGACACGGGTAATGCAGCGAGGTGGACATTACCGGTAAAAATGGGCGAAAAAAGGGGTCCGGGACTTTTCGTTTTTCGTCCTTATATGAGAATATTTGAGCCTAAATGAGGGATCATTCGAAAAAGGAAGGTTCAATACAGCACGCTCTGGTCATGATTTAACGAGATCTTGTTCATATCTAATAATATGAGTGTCCAAAGTAGAGCAAAAATACGATATAATACACCTGCAGAATCCAAGCATTTTTAGGTCATTAAAAGAGTTTTAAGGCTCAAACGGTGGCCAGAGCGTGCTGCACTGAATCTTTCTCTTTTGAATGAGCCCTCACTCAGCCTCAAATATTCTCATATAAGGACGAAAAACGAAAAGTCCTGAAATTATTTCCAAAAACGAGTTCCGCCATTTTGACGATAATGCAGAGCAAGTCACGTACCAAATTTAGTTCAGGAAATCGGTATAAAATGGCGCTTACTGAGTGCGACTGCTAACGTGAATATCGATATATTTCGACATGTCGATTCTGTTTACACGCCGAGCGCCAACATAGAAAGGGACAGACAGTAGAGAGAGAGAGAGGGAGAGAGGGAGAGAGAGAGAGAGGGAGAGAGAGGGAGAGAGAGACTATATGTATCTCATTTTCGCTCGCTAAGAGCGAATTATGTATCTCGCTTAGTTCAAAAATAGCAGAAGGCACCACCTCGTTTTCATCGGAAAACGTCTCTATGGGTATTACCATTTCTATGCAGAAAAATCTGCTGTAATACCGACCAGACAAAGCGGAAAGGTCACGTGCCGTGTCTACCCTCTTAAGATTGTCTCCGTGTGATTTTTCTGTAACAATGAAATACTTCCAGCGTCGTTGCTATCTATCCTTACACCTAAATCGTAACTTATTTTGCCTAAATCCTTGGCTTCGTATTCTTTACGGATAGAATTTATTAGTTCCGTAATCGTCGATTGGCGTCTGGAAAATACAAAAATATCATCGACATATATAATCACAATCGTCCAATGCCCATTTACGTATGTACATCCTGAGGATTTTAGTCTCTTGAATCCTTCTTTAATTAAAAAACGATCCAATTTCTTGTCTCAACTCCTTTCACATTGTTTACATCCATATATCGGTCTTAACAATCTTGCTACAGATCCTTCTTCTTTATTCTCGCATAATGGTGGCAATTTCGTAAATATCTCCTCTTCCAACTCTCCACATAAATACGCCCATTTAATACGTATATACCTTGTGTACCATTGAAAGTTCACTGTTATTGCTAACATTATTCTGATCTCGGAGAAACTGACCACTGGTGAATACGTTTTATCGTAGTCTAATCCCCTTTGTTGGGAGAAACCTTGAGCTACAAGTCTCGCCTTGTATCTTTGAATTTGTCCATCTGCGTCTCTTTTCAATTTCACCACCCATTTGCAACCTATGCATTTCTTTCCTTCTGAGAGTTTGACGACTTCCCAAGTTTTTCTACTTGATAAGCTATCTAGCTCTTCCTTGATTGCGTTTTTCCACTGAATGGCTTGCGGGGACGCTAGGGCTTCCTCAACATTACGTGGCTCCATTATTTGTAGAAGATTAGCTTCTACATCATTTCCTACTGATAAACTTTCTTTTTTATCGTCACTAAGCACTGTCTTTGGCTTACATTTCCGTCCCTCTATATTTAATCTGATCGCAGCAAGTGCCTTATTTTCATTAATCTGGTGTTGTCTTACCTCTTCATTCGTGGGATTTTGTGGTCTTCTCTCGGTCGGAGAGTTTCGTGATTTTTAGATGCAACAGGTCCTTATTTTTCCTTTTTCACTTACACTAGCGATATTCGCACTTTCACTAACACGTGCTTTTATATCTTTTACTATTCTTTACGTCACCTGTTATTTTGTGACTGGCCCCATAACCATTATGAGCGAAAAACTTTATTTAACATAAAGAGTAATGATACATGTGACTAAACTCAAGTGTATATATACGTATTCACAAGGAACAAGTTATTTTGTAATTCTTAATTATAAGTATATTATCACCACGGTAGCGATATTAACTGCTTAGGCGAAAACACGATTCGACAGCTTTTCTTCTTTACCCGTTCGTTAGCTAATACCAGGAAAGGTCGCAGGACGATAACGAATGAACACTTGCTGTCTTTGTTATACTCAAAGCCTGCTGTACGATTTTATGAGTATTAGGTCAATATCGGACGTTAGGCATTTTTTTTTTTTCAGACTAAAAAAGAATAATGTTTAATTCTTTATAACTGAGTATGAGTAATGACCGAGTATTAAACTATAGTTTTATCAGTTATTTACAACCAAATTCCTTATTCTTCCACTGTATCGAGTCAGTAATTCTTATAATATGACCTGTACAATTTTCACTGGGAGGGATTGTATATGCATTCATTGAAATCCAGCGATGTGGATTATGATTTTGTCAATCTTTTCTATCTCCCGCGCGCTTGAGACAAAATTATTAATGTTTCCCATATTTTTTGTTATACGTATTGAGTTTTAATACTCAGATTCATTAATTTTCAAAAATAATTTTCTTGTGCTGTTTAATTTGGTGTAAGAAAATTACAATTATGTCTCACAATTAATATTAACTTGTACCACTAGACATGTGCTGTTCATGCGAATTTTTCTCTGGTCAAGCAATATTCAGCACTTAAAGAGTTTAAGTCGTTCATTTGAACGTTAGTGGTACGTTTAGTGGCAATGTAATATTTATCTTGAGAACGCATACCAATATTTGTTTTCAGGAGATTTGTTTGGAATTTCTTTCGGCTAGAAAACGAACATCTAAACAATTGTGGTAAATTTCGCGCTGTTCGCGATATATCAATAGCACCTATAGAAAGCTCCGATCAGACACAGATTTTGCGCATGATGGATGAGGAAAATGGTGTACTTAATAGAGGTAAACGTAAAATAGGTGGTAAGCGACAAACTAATCCCAAAGAAGACAAACGGGCTTTGCTTAAGGAAGAAACAATTGATATCGACATATCTAATGCTAGTTGAAAGTAGTTCAAAAATTCGATTCCGGGTTTCAATTTATAGGAATAAATTGTTTCAAATGCAACATAATTTTATGTAAAAATTCGTACTTCGTTGCAATTAGTGTAAATCAAACATTATAAGTAACTAATGTCTTGCCCTTATATTTGGCAAAATTGAAGACTATAAAGCTTGAACCGTTGCAAGTGCCTTCTATATCGTTCTTAAAAGAACTCTTAGTTGAACCTTGTATTTAATAATTTAATACTGTAATAATATACTATTGTGTAATATATGCTATAAAGTCTTCCATAAAAGTATTTAAGCACATAACACATTGCTTATCGCTAACCAACTGGTTTGATGGATACTTTCGAGAAACGTCTTTAAATACTGATTTTTCTTAGCACTTGAATAACGTAAATATACACTAATTATTTTTCTGAACACTTGTTACGTTACTAGCGATACGTTATGTGTTAATAATGTATATATTTGTAAGTTATAGTCTTCAATTTTGAAGAACAAACATATAGTTTGATATCTGAAAATATATAAAGTGTAACAGATAATTATAGTATCATCATACGTAATTGGTATGTCATAGATAGAAACAGAAGTATTGTTTCAAAATATGAAATATTCTTTTATCCGAATGTATCTAGTGATAATAAAACCTAGCATTGTAAAGTTAAATTTCTCATTATATCATAGGATTTACAAATTTTACGTTTGAAAAATAGTGAAATAATGGATAATCTCGAGAAATATACATGCAACTTTATACTGCGATGCAATTGTATGTGAAATTTAAACGTATGTACACTGGCGTTCAAAAGTTCCCGGTCAGATGGTTTTTACGATTTTTCTTCCAAAAGAGAAGTGTTGAGGCATTTTAATTAGAATCATATGTAAAGCCATATTACGTGAAAGGATGCTACAAAAAAAATCACCGCTATTTATTTTTCTTACGTCTTTATTTGTAGAATACGTAAATTAACGTGTTCAAAAGTTCCCGGCCAGTGTGTTTAACAAAAAAATTATGCCTGTTTTTCATTTTATAACAATTTCGGGGTACATTATTTAACATATTATAATTAATATTTTGTTGCTGTGCAGTTTAAAACAATAACAGCAGCACAGCGATGAGGCATGGATTCAATTAACTGAATAATGTAATCGCGTGGTAGTTTGTTCCACTGTTCTATTAAATTTTGAAAAAATTGTGTCTTATTAGAACTTCTATGATTTTTCATTCGACGTTTCATCTCTCCTGAGAGATGCTCTATCGGATTTAAATCCGCAGATTGAGAAGGCCAGTCTAAAACCTGTACTTTATTTGTAAACCACCTTCTTACGATTTTCGATGCATGTTTGGGGTCGTTATCATGTTGGAAAAACCAAATTTCTTGCATTTTCCTTTTACCATATGGTAGCATATGACTTTCTAAAATCTCTTTGTACATCATACTATTCATGATACCCTCAATTTTTATAGGAAGACGACTTCCTTGAGCGGAGAAAGCTCCCCATACCATGATGCTTCCTCCATCATGTTTAACAGTTGGCGTTTGATACCTTGGATCATTTATTTTCCCAACTAAACGTCGTACATATTTTCTTCCATCGCTGCCGAACAGATTGAATTTAGATTTAATTTAGATCTAACAAAACTTTTTTAACACTTTTCTTTTGGAAGAAAAATCGCAAAAACCATCTGGCCGGAAACTTTTGCACGCCACTATACCTACTTCATGACAGTTGAATTAATTTTATTTCGAAGTTATTGGACTATAATATCGGAAGCACCTTCAATCATTGGGCTGTATGTTAACTTGATCAACAGCACAATACTCAAATTCTCATAGCAAATAATTCACGCGATTTGGTGTAGTCCAAGAACAAACAATTTGTTTAAGAGCGCTTACAAGTCTGATCATTTGTCCATGTTTAAAGTTAGTGTGCTCAATAAGTCTAATCGGAGCCGTTCTGCTGTCAAGGTCGCTATTGTACACCTGTCGAGCCAATTACTTACTTTGCGCCAGCGGAACCCTAATGACGTAGTTCACAAAATGTTTTGTATATGTCTGGTCCAAAATTATTATAAACGTTCACCTAATGCCTGAAGCTAACATAAATCTGAACAACAACTACAAATATTGTCTTACATTGATTCTGCACATTCTTCTCGTCAAAACATTGTTCCTTTTAAGAGTTAGTAAGTAGTATAGCTAGGCGGGTTCTAAGCCATGGGGCTCCGAGGGGGGAGCGGGGGAGGGGGCCAAGTGGTGGGGTCGGTAATTATTACCTACGGTCGTTAAGGTAGAGGGGGGGACACCACCGGTCGGTAATTATCAGTGATCGGTAAGAAAGAAAAACGCAAATTTTACATGTAACGAAATAAGCGCGTAAGGGTGGGGGAAACCGTCCTCTTCGCGCGCAGGAGTGGGGGTGTTTTTTCGGGCCCCGCGGTTTCCCTCTTTCTCTCTCGCGCCCAAGCATTTTCTTCCTCGCACTCATGCACTTTTACCCATGCAACACGTAAGATTAGAAAAGATGAGGTAATTATAATAGGTAATTATCAGAGATCAGTAAAAAAGAAGAAGAAGAAGAACATCAATTGTTCGACGTTTGGTAAGTATTATTATCGTTATCAGAGATCGGTAAGTTCTTTCTTAGGTTCTTAGTTTCTTCATGCAAATGGTACATGTAACGATAAGCGCGCACGCCGTAAGGGAGGGGAAACCGTCCCCTTCGCGCGCAGGAGTGGGAGCGTCGTTGCGGGCTTCGCGGGTTCCCTTTCTCTTGCGCCCGAGTATTTTCTTCCTCGCACTCATGCCCCGTGCAACATATAGTATTACATTACAATCTTAGGCGCAGCCATCGGTAGGAACGTCTTGCGACGATGACCTCGAGCAGAAGTTACCAAAAACGCTAAGTTTGCAAATTAAAATCCGGCAGCAAATCTTTTATTTGCGCGATACAATTTTTCAAGGACTAGATATTAAAGAAACGGTAGAGGCGACATAATTCTTTTGATGATGAGAATACTAGAGAACGTGCGAAGGAAACATTATACCGGATGAGAATATGATATGAGAGGAAATGCGCTAGAAAGAAAAACACATATCCAAGCTATTTCTTTTTATTATAAAAATATGAAAAAATGATAAATATATATATAAAAAGCAGTAAATAAAAAATGAAATAAAAAACTATGATAAAAATGAAATAAAATAAAATAAAAAAATATGATAAAAATGATTAATATATAAAATATAATACTATAATAAAAATGATTAATATATACATTTAAAAACTATAATAAAAAATGAAATAAAAGTAATAGAAGATTAATGTATAAAAATAATAATAGATTAATGTATAAGAAGTGAAATAAAAAACTATAATAAAATGAAATAAAATGAAGTAAAATAATGAACCACTTTGCATTAAGACGGTGACAAACCCGTTGATATAATAAAAATATGAAATAAAAATACAAATAAAATAAAATAAAAAACTATACAATATCAACCGTCTTATTGCAAAGTGGTCCATCGGCGTAAATATGAAGTGACGCGTGATGCAGACGAGGCATCGCGCCGAATGTGCACACGTATATAGCTGCTGTCTGCATCGCGCGCAATTCCTGAAGTTGAGGAATCATAGTCTCGGAATCGCCAAATGAGCCTCGGATCGTGGGTAGAGCACCCTCTCCTGAAGCGGGAGCTCCAGCCAACATTCGGCGCATATCCGGCGGCGGAAGGGGTCGTCCGCCTCCAGGACGACGAACGCCGCTCGGACCTCCCGCAGGCACCCCAAAGTCAACAAATAACTATATGTTTCAGGGTGCTTCTCTGGGAGCACCACATCGAAGTCGAACTCTTCGACGTTTTCCGGAACCTCATTATATAGGCGCCGTGTGTCAATCGGCATTTCTATAAGAAAAAGGAAATGATATTTTTAATATTTCTTTTCACGCACGCACATTCAGGAATATCCATTTCACTGTCGAGTTCATGGCGTTATCAATACGACACATTTGTCGGTCAAATGCTACGACTATTAATAATCTAGTATTTTTAAAAAATTTGTGCAACACTTTCACACACTCATAACGCCAGGAACTGATCAATACTGTATATGCATTTTTCACTTACTTTCGTTTTAAAAATTGAAGCACTTCACGAAAAACTCTCAAGCAATTGTCTTAAGCACTGTCAGACTGCGAATGCCTTTAAAAACGTTACAGCGAAACGATCCAAGAACCGATATTCCAGCGAAAAACCAAAACTGTTGAGTAGGCATCAGCATTTGTCGGGAGGCTGACAAACATTACACCGGATGAGAATATGATATGGGGAAAATGCGCTAGAAAGAAAGACGTATATATCCAAGCTATTTTTTATTGATAAAAAAAATACATACATTTTTTATTTCTGGTATTTCAACCACCAGTTGTATAATTTAAATACATTTTGTAAAGCGCAGTTCGTTACATGGTTTATGCATCGCATGTTATTAGTAACATCAAGATTTTTCAAACACGCGATATCTTTGTAATCAGCATCCATGGTCTCAATAGTTACATTCACATTTCTATCAAGTAGATTTTTCAACCAGTCACGTTTTTGGGTTCCCTTGACATATGCGATAGGTCATGCATCGTCGTCGACTATTGCCGTTGTAATCAATCGTTTAGCCATACTGTATGGAACGAAACCATCTTCCCACGACAGTCCATAATGATTTGCCGCCACCCAAGAAGCACGAGATTTATCGGCTACCGATAGTGAATTCCATGGATACGGGCTTTTGAAAATGTATTGGGTGAGAACGGTTCCTTTTCTCAACACCGCCACTTCCTTTGCGATAAACCTGGTTCTGTCGGTGAACCCTTGTATGTCACAAACGTTGGTACCATCGTGACGATATCTTTGAAACTACGCCACAATGCGAGGTGTCCATCTCTTACATATTACAAATATTGCTGATGCTGCAGTTTATGTGATTTTGCGCACAATGTTGGACAATGGACAGTATTCGATGACGCGATCATGCAAAATAAGACAGTATGCGGTAGTATTTGCTGGTACGTTTTCTTTGCAATCAAATTCTATTCGCACATCTATGGTGGCGCTCTTAATTGATTCGTTCTGTCGCGAGCAATCGATGACTACAAACGGCCCATGCAACAAAAAGTTGTCCGTATTGCAAAGCGTTTCGTAACAGTCGTATCCGTAATAAACTTTACGAAAACGTGCATACATATCGAGAAGAATAGCATATCTGTTTCTATCAAAATCAAGATTCAAGTCATGGTATGGATAAAAGTCAGAGTTTAGATAAAGTTTCACGTTGGTCAATTTACATGCATCAAAATTGCTCGCATCTTCAGACATGATATTCTTTCGATCAGTCTGCAGTGCAAAAATGACGTATCTCGGTTTCTCCAGTTGAGTCGCAGTTTTAATGGCCCACGAATGTTTTTTCGTACTTTGCAACAAAGGGTACTCGTACAGGTCCCACGAACGAAAAACTCATGCTTCGGTATTGCCCGCTTTCCAAAATTCGCAACAAGGATAGTTTATTCGTATCATTCAGTACGACGTGAGGCATAATTATTAATGAGGCATTATTATTTACTCTGAAATATGAAATACGCATACGCTTTGCTAGATGCTGTAGTTGTACGTTGGTGGTTACACCTTCGGGCATTTTAATTTTGACGTTTTTTTTTCTCTTTGGAACTCCTCGTCCGCGTTTGTACGGCGCGAGATGTACTCCGC